ATGGGCAGAAGACATGACCAGACACTTCTCCAAAGAAGACATACAAATGGCTAACAGACACATGAAAAAATGTTCATCATCATTAGCCATCAGGGAAATTCAAATCAAAACCACATTGAGATATGACCTTATGCCAGTTAGAATGGCAAAAATTGACAAGGCAAGAAACAACAAACATTGGAGAGGTTGTGGAGAAAGGGGAACCCTCTTACACTGTTGGTGGGAATGCAAGTTGGTACAGCCACCTTGGAAAACAGTGTGGAGGTGCCTCAAAAATTTAAAAATAGAGCTACCCTATGACCCAGCAATTGCACTACTGGGTATTTACCCCAAAGACACAGATGTAGTGAAAAGAAGGGTCATATGCACCCCAATGTTCATAGCAGCAATGTCTGCAATAGCCAAACTGTGGAAAGAGTCGAGATGCCCTTCAACAGATGAATGGATAAAGAAGATGTGGTCCATATAGACAATGGAATATTACTCAGCCATCAGAAAGGATGAATACTCAACTTTTACATCAACATGGATGGGACTGGAGGAGATTATGCTAAGTGAAATAAGTCAAGCAGAGAAAGTCAATTATCACATGGTTTCACTTATTTGTGGAACATAAGGAATAGCATGGAGGACATTAGGAGAAGGAAGGGAAAAATGAAGGGGGGGAAATCAGAGGGAGAGATGAACCATGACAGGCTATGGACTCTGAGAAACAAACTAAGGGTTTTAGAGGGGAGGGAGGTGGGGGGATGGGTTAGCCCAGTGATGGGTATTAAGGAGGGCACGTACTGCATGGAGCACTGGGGGTTATACAATGAATCGTGGATCACCACATCAAAAATTAATGATGTAATGTATGGTGATTAACATAATAAAATAAAATTTTTTTTAAAAAGCCAAAAGACAAAAAGTGTGGGGAAAATATTTGCAACATCTATGGTCGTAAAAAGGATACCTTCCTTCATAAATGAAGACTCTTACAAACTAATAAATATTACCTGTAACCCAATAGAAAAATAGCAAGTCATAGGGGGGAAAAAAGATAGCTTATAAACATAGGAGGGGCGCCTGGGTAGCTCAGTAGGTTAAGCGTCTGCCTTCGGTTCAGGTCATAATCTCAGGGTACTGGGATCGAGCCCCACATCGGGCTCCCTGCTTGGGAGGGGGCTTGCTTCTGCCACTCCCACTGCTTGTGCTCTCCTGCTCTCTCTGTCAAATAAACAAATAAAATCTTTAAAAAGGAAAAAATTTTAAAAAAAATAGGAAAAGATGTTCAGCCTCACTCACATAGACAGAAATTCAAGTCAAAGCAGTGAGAATATCTTTCTCATCTAATAGACTGGCAAAGTTCCAAAAGTTTGCAAAAAGAATATTGTCAAAGTCACAGGGAACTAGCCACTCTCAGCGAGGCTGGTGGAAACGTAAGCTGGCACAAGTACATTACAATACCTTCTGAAATGCAAAATGCGTACATGCTTTAACTCAGCACATCTTCCAGGATTTCATCCTCCCTACATATATTCACACTGAATACAAGGATCTGTGTATATAAAGAGATTTCCTGCAGCATTGTTTGTATGCTGAATGTTTCCTGAATGTTCCCCAGTAGAGGACTGTGTCGATAATTATGTCACATACAAAGGAACGTTTTGCGACTGTTAAATGAAGGGAGTATGGGCGGCTATGCAATGATCTCTGAGATCTGGTTATTAATGGACAAAAACCAAACATGTATAGCACACTCCCATTTTTAATATACAATATATATCTATATAATGTCTACTGTATTATAGATATTATAGGTATTTATAAGATATATATAATGTATATTATAAATATACATAGAAAATTTCTGGAAGGTCAAACAAGAAACTGCCAACATTGGTCAGTCAAAGCAGGAACAACTACATCATTTGCGGGGTCCCCATGCAAAAATGAAACATGGGGTCCCTGTTTCAAAAACTGTTGTGGATTTCAAGACAGTAGGGCATGGAACCAAGCAGAGAGCTCTCTTGAGCATGGGGTCTGGGTGACTTCCCAGATCACAGGTCCATGAAGCCAGTCCCCTCGGGGGAAGGAACTAGAGTCACGGGGGTCTGACATGGGAGAGAGACTAATTTTTACTGGAGATAATTTTTGAACCATTTTAATTTTTCAGCATGCACATGTATTAATTTTTCAATTATAAAAAAATTATTAAAAAATCAAAATTGCCCACCACCTCTATTCCCTTCTTCATCCAACAAGAGCCTCAATTCTTAGAAATAAGGGTCATGGTGGAGGGAAGTCAAGATGTGGGGAGGGGGAGGGGAAGGGAGGAGTAGAAGGTGGAGGGGAGGACCCTTCCTCCCACAGGAAATCCCCTCTGCACCCTGGGAAACCCCAGCTTAAATCCAAAGGAGCCTTGGGCTGGATCATACATTCTCTTAAATAAGTGCTTGCCACATTCAGACTGTTTGAAAACACTCCCCCCACCCACAGGACTGGGCTAAGCCTCTGAAGAATGCCAACACGGTCATGTACATCTATATAACCCTGTGCTGGGTTGAAGAGGGTTCCCCACAAATCCAAGTCCACCCAGAACAGAAAGCAACCTTATTTGGAAACAGGATTATTTACAGATGTAATTATTTACAATGAGGCCATACTGGAGTGGGTGAGCCCTGTTCTTTTTTTTTTTTTTTTTTAAGGTTTTATTTATTTTGGGGCATCTGGGTGTCTCAGTCGCGTGAGCGTCTGCCTTTGGCTTGGGTCATGATCCGGGGTCCTGGGATGGAGCCCCACGTCAGGCTCCCTGCTCATTGGGGAGGCTGTTTCTCCCTCTCCCTCTACTTCTCCCCCTGTTCATGCTCTCTCTCAAATAAATAAATAAAATATTTTTTATTTATTTATTTGAGAGTGAGAGAGAGAAAGCACAAGTACGGGGAGGGGCAGAGGGAGAGGGAGAAGCAGACTCCCCAGTGAGCAGTTAAGCAGGGAGCCCAATGTGGGACTCGATCCCAGGAACCCGAGATCATGACCCGAGCCAAAGGCAGATGCTTAACCGGCACCCCGGAGCCCTATTTCAATGACTGCTGTCCTTATAAAAAGGCCAAGTGAGGACAGAGAGATAGACAAGGAGAACACAAGGAGAGATGGAGGCAGGGATGGGAGAGATATATCTGCAAGCCAGGGAGCACCAAAGGTTGTTGGCAACCCCTAGAAGCTAGGAAAAAGGCATGGAACAGATTTTCCCTCGAAGCCTCCAGAAGAAACCAACCTGACAGACACCTTGCTGTTGGACTTCTGGCCTTCAGAACTGTGCAAGAGTACATTTCTGTTATTTTAAGACACTGAATTAGTCAACTTGGGTCACATAACAAAATGCCACACTAGGTGGGGGGGGGGGCTTAAACAACAGCTCTGGAGGCTGGAGGTCTGAGACCAGGGTGCCAGTATAGTTGGGTTCTGGTGAGGACAGATGCCTTCTGGCTGTGTGCTCACATGGTGAAGTAAGAGGGATGCTCTCTCTTCCTCTAAGGGCACTAATCCCATCAGGAAGGCCCCACCAGCATGACCTCATCTAAGCTGATCACTTCCCAAAGGCCCCATCTCCAAATACCATCACCATGGAGGTTAGGGCTTCAACATATGAATTTGGGGGGCGGGGGGACACACAAACATACAGCCCATAACAGCCACCATGTTTGTGGTGCTTTGTTACATCAGTCCTACGAAACAAAGACAAACCTCCAATAACCAAACACTTGGTGCTTCAAATCAGAGGCAGGCCCAAAAGCTTTTCTGTAAGTGGGCAGATAGTAAATACTTTTGGCTTGGCAGGTCATATGGTCCCTGCTGCAACAACTCAGCCCTACCATTGTGCAAAATCAGCCATAGGTGATAGGTGAATCAATTAGTGTGGATGTGTTCCAGTAAAATTTTATTTACTAAAACAGGTAGCTACAGGCATCAGCCTTCAGGCTTTAATTGGACCATACCTGCTTTAGATGAGAAACATAATAATAAAAAGAACCAACAGTTGAGTGCAAGAAGAGAAGAGGTGAGTTAAGACTCCCATAGCTGGCTCCAGCCTTCGGAAGCAACACAACACTGATCACTTCCCTCTGCCTTCCAGAGCCCTGGCTGCATCTGAAAGATGACCTAGAAGGCTTAGATTACCCCTAAGATAACCTCCAGCTCTCATGCTCTGAAGTGCTTTGAGTTTTTAAATGTTTCTTTTCAACAATTTCATTTACTAAGCAGAACTGTAAAGAACTGGAGGCAAAGGTGATTTTCTGGTGAAATGGACTATTAAGTATATAAAATAAAATTGCTGCTGTAATCAAAATGGTCCAGAACAGTTTTTAAGCTATCTAGATACATTTCCACACATTTTTCTTATATCTGTATTAAGATTTGACTTCTGCAAATCATTCTTTATGAAAGTGAAAGCCAACCCTCTTTCTACCTGGATTCATGGATGTGTACATCATAAGGCTGATCAGAATTCCTTTCCAACTAAATGCATGCTTTGTTTGCACAAGTGACCTCTACTCTTTAAAATAAAATAAGGGGCCTAAAATAATCCCAAGAACTTCCAAATCACCATTTGATTGTTTCTATCCTTTTGTGAATCTAATGTATTGATGACTTACAATGGGTCTACCATCCAGGTATTAGTAGAAATAGATCATGTCCTGAAAACGATCAACAAGTTCAAATGCTGCCTCCAAATTAGCCATTTTTTTTTTTAAGATTTATTTATTTTATTTTGAAAGAAAGAGAGAGACAAGGAGAGTGGAGGGGGAGAGGGAGAGAGAGAATCTCAAGCAGACTCCCCACTGAGCGTGGAGCTGGATTCATGGCTCAATCCCATGACCCTGAGATCATGACCTGAGCCAAAATCAAAAGTTGGATGCTCAATAGACCGAGCCACCCAGGTGCCCCCAAAGTAATGTTTTAAACAATTTCCAATAAACATACATGCAGAGGACTTTTCCAAGAAAACAAATACTTACCCCACAATACTGCTCTTCGTTGAAGATCTGGGGGGGCAAAGGGATTCCGTTTTGAGGTTTTTTCTCTCCAGGAACATTCTCCCTCATCCACTTCCTATTGTCTTCATCTCCAGCAATGTCTAATTCCTTAAAGTCGATCTTATTAGCTTCCAAAAAGCCCACTACTTCTTGCTGCTTCTTCCTAATCTGATCAAGAGCAGAGAAAGACTACTATTAGACTAGGTTTATTTTTTTTATGTTTTGCTTATATTTACATAAATGAAATCCTTTCTCCAACTATACTATACAAAACAAATAATCTTGCTATTATTTAAACAAGGAAAACGATAAAGTCACACCTCTTCATTATAAAGGATCAACAGAGTCATTGTTTAAATTCTAAAACTTTAATTTCACCAATGTTTCAATCATGGTATAATCAACCTAATAAGAATAGAAATGCCCTCATCATAGATTTTACTTGAGGTCTTTGATATGCTTTTAAATTCTCTGCTAAGCAATGTCCACAATAGCCAAACTGTGGAAAGAGCCAAGATGTCCATCGACAGATGAATGGATAAAGAAGATGTGGTTCATATATACAATGGAATATTATGCAGCCATCAAAAGGAATGAGATCTTGCCATTTGCAACGACGTGGATGGAACTGGAGGGTGTTATGCTGAGTGAAATAAGTCAATCAGAGAAAGACATGTATCATATGACCTCACTGATAGGAGGAATTCTTAATCTCAGAAAACAAACTGAGGGTTGCTGGAGTGGTGGGGGGTGGGAGGGATGGGGTGGCTGGGTGATAGACATTGGGGAAGGTATGTTCTATGGTGAGCGCTGTGAATTGTGCAAGACTGTTGAATCACAGATCTGTACCTCTGAAACAAATAACGCAATATATGTTAAGAAAAAAAAAAAAACAGAAGAAGATAGCAGGAGGGAAGAATGAAGGGGGGGAATCGGAGGGGGAGACGAACCATGAGAGACGATGGACTCTGAAAAACAAACTGAGGGTTCTAGAGGGGAGGGGGGTGGGGGGATGGGTTAGCCTGGTGATGGGTATTAAAGAGGGCACGTTCTGTGTGGAGCACTGGGTGTTATGCACAAACAATGAATCATGGAACACTACATCAAGAACTAGTGATGTAACGTATGGTGATTAATATAACAATAAAAAGATAAATAAATAAATAAATTCTCTGCTAAGCTTTAATGCCAAAAAACAAATAAGAATTGGTTATGAAGAAAAGGGAGGATTGGGAGAAGCAGAAGAAGGAAAGAGAGAAAAGACAATTCACTACAAAACTCAAATACCAAGTACACTCACCTAAAAAAGCGCTTCACTCACAGTTATGAAAATGGGCACGTGAGTCACATTGAACAAAAGTGGCCTCCGAAATAATACAGGAGATTGGAAAGCCCACTTGGAGATGAGTGAAAGGGGAAAGGACAGAGGAAAAACCAGGAAAAGCCAATGGCTGTGTCTGCCAGCTCACAAAGAGCAACACGGTAAAGAACCTTGTCTTCCCTCGGATTTCTCCTTTCCACTCACATGCAGAGCAAAACACCAGCCTCACCTGAGAGACAACTCTTGATGCCCCTCTCTCCACCACTGGCTCTTGTCTACCAGCCACCATTGCTCAGGAATGTGGCCCTCTTCACAGTTCAGACCTCCATCCCCAGAGACAACTACAACCATTCTCTCTGTTCAAAGAATTCACTCCCAAAATGCACAATGCCCTCTTTCATACACACCAGTAAACAACTTGGAGCACACTCTGTGGACCCCACTTAGGAGCCTCTGGGAGAGAGGTCTAGAGTGGTCAACCCAACAATCATAAACACTTATTTACCCACTCTACTCTGCACAAGACAATGTACCAAGTTCTTTGTGTGAACAGATTCATAACCTGCTTATGTGGGTGAAAAAAATGCAAAGAACTCATTTGTACATTCTAGGCAGTGAACATGCTGAAGATGATCAAGAGGCAAAATAAGCCATTTCTTAAAAATAAGAGCAAAGTTTTAAGGATTTTCTTTGACATGAAAATATCTAATAACTTAATTTGTTAAATCTTCTGCATAGAATGTTGTCTCATATCAAAAAAAGCCATTAAAAATGTTTTATAGAGTACGAGGCCCCCTGTCATTCTCACGTAACTCATTCATTAGCAGAGGTATTAGAATTTGAGAATCCCAAACAAATGTTATAAAAGGCTCATACCCATCCCAAACCTAATGTCTAGCCTCAAACCCTCTTTGGGTCAAACCCAATTCCTTTCATAGATTTGTATACCAAAAGAAAAAAATATATATATTTTTTTATATTTTTTTATTCATTTTTGCCAAAGTGAATGAGTCTATCAATGATTCATGTGTAGAGTATTTCTTTCTTAATATAAAGAAAAATAAAGTACATATGGATGCTTAAGCCCTGGAAGCAGGTCACCACCAAAACCAAATTATGTTTTGGATTATGTAGAATTTGGTTTTGGTGGTGACCTGATTGTATATATTGTATGAATTATAAATATGACATAAATGAATAGAAATAACTTTTGAATTTTTTACAAGTAAATATACATTGCATATAAAATTGTATATATAAGTTACATACCCAGGTGTGTATAAATGGCAATCACACATTTCCTTCTTAAGTAACATTTGTTCCACCAACATAGCAAAGATACTGCGACTAAAAGCATTAGAGCAATAAATTGAAGGCTGCCGTTAGCTACAATACAACACTTAATCATTAAGACTCAGTTTGGGGCAAGCATGGACAAAAATAAAAACAAAAATCATACAGAAAGGTGTGGGGTGACGGAATTTCCCCGAAGCTTCTGGCACAAGCTTCTGGCACATTCCTGAGTGTCACTTCTATCAGAAGCAAAGGATGAGCTCTTATTTCTCCACCATGAGCCCTCCCCCAAGGCGAGGCTGGCGGAGCCCTTGGCCCTTCTGTTCCTCCTCACCGAAACTGCGCTCCAATTCCATAGCTTCACAGCTGAATTTCTGAATATTACAAAATCCCATCAGACCTGATGACAGGTCATTGGAACGAAATTACTATTTTAATTCATCATGTTTTCTGTATGTACTTTCCACTTTGTCCATAATTATCTGCGCCACTCTATAATAATTACTTATTCCTTTGGCTATTTCCAGAGATAACTTTGCTGTTTGAAGAGTAGAGATGTCTTCGTTTTAGGCGGGTTTACTTTTAATCGAAGATTCAGAAGGCAACATCCTTTATTCTGTCCAAACTCCTGTCTTCCTTCCTCCTCAAGTACCCTCCCGGGAGCCCAAATCAGCCTGGCCACCTCACCATTATTTCCACCTCTATTAATCATGCCTCAGGACTTGAGATGAAATAGAAGGATTTCATTTTATTCCACGATTTCTGAATCGATGAAGAACAGTTCCCAAAGTCCTGACTTGTGTTTCTGGGGTTAGAAAGTCAAAGAGGGATGGAGAAAATGGGAGGGGAGGATCTGTTTGCTGCTACCTCTTGCAAGACACGCAATTGCATCTGCAGGAACTTAACGGACTGTTGGGTGCATGACCTTATGTTAAGTGCTATTTCTCAGCCCCTCACCTCTCAAAAAAGAGAAGAAAAGTAAAATCTGTTTCTATCCTCCCCAAATACCAGTACTTTAAACTGGGTTAAAGGCATCACTGATCTGGCTCTTTGGAGCATCTGAGTTCTGCCAGGGGCTGGAGTAGTCTTAGGATGAGTCCAGAGGAGGAGAGAGGGGAGCAGGGAGTACACGAGCTCACCTGGTGGCATGGTCCCCTCTGCCCACACCCTGATGGCCACCCTGAGTGGGGGCCCTCTCCCCCACAGTCCTCCCTCCTATTCATGGGCCCTCCCAGGCAAAGTGCAACTCTTCTCCAGGTGGCCTCCTGAGCTGACCCCAGGGACATCAGCTCCCAGAGGGCACCTCCCCTTATGGCCCCTGGGGTAGGAGGGTATACACCACACCCAGTCGTTCTCACCACAGACACCCTCCCCTTCCCACCTCCTGCTGTTTCTCCTCCCTCCACCGCACCGTGACCAGTGCTACCCCGCCCCCCAGGGCTGTACCTTCTTTCTAGGCAGCCCCTCTGGAGGATCTGGGGGTCCCTGGGGTCTGGGTCACTTGGAGCTTTTGGGACTTCAGCAGAGGCTGAGAGAGCCCTGTGTTTCCTATCCTGTTATATTTATTCTTAAGAAAGTGTTCTTTTCCTGAAGTCACCGGCCACCAGTGGTTACTGTAACGTGTCAGAGTGATCTTTGAGTCACCTGCTTGGCACCTCCCTTTTACTGTCTTGTACAGTTAGGAGCTTTTCCAACTGAGGTCACTACACTTAGTGAAAAGCACACTGCATTTGAGCAGAGGCGACCTGCATTTCCCCCTGGCTCGGAAGGCTGCTGTCTGAGCAGGGGTCCACTCTTGAATGGCCTCGTCTGCAAAATGGGTAAAGCGCCACCCTCCTCAGGTTCTGGTGAGAACCAAGGAACATGACATGACGTGTGGTACAGCATCCTGGGCAAGGCAAGAGCCTGCACAGTCTTATCTCACTGACTTATCCTGGTTGCCAAGCCAGGTTAAGTACTCTGATCACCATTTTAAAATAATAAAGCTGAGGCACCAGTGAATTAAGGAATTTTCCAAGATCTACACCTGGATCCATCTCGTTCAAGAGCGGAGTTTTTGCCCACTATATTTACACTCAAGCAAGGCTGGAGAAATGATGGAAAAACCCAGGAGCCACCTCAGGGTCTGTTCTTGAATATCGTGGTTCCAAGGACGGTGCATCTTGAAAACAACGAGGACAGTGCTCTCTCCCTTTGTCCCCCAGCCGTGGCGCTGGCCTTCAGGAAGACACAGACCTGCTCCCGCTCCCAAGGTCTCTTCACTACGTTCCTCCGTAAATCGGTAAAACGTGTGACATTGCCTTATCATCAACCCTTCAAAGACATGACACACAGCTGCGTATGCATAAGCCCTTACAAAGAGATGTGTCCTTTTTCATTTATTTCATTCATCCCTTAGAAGTTACAGGCCCTCGTTGACTAAGCTGCAGGCAAGAATCCTTTTTTAAAATAAAGAGACTGAAGAAACAAGCAGTTAAGTGTTGCAGACCCGCCACCACACACACTGGAAGCTGCTCTGCGGTTCTCCTGCAAAGAAGCTTCTGGGTGAAATCCCCCCACCCAGGGAAAATCACTAGCCCTGCTACCATGGGAATCATCGGTTGTCCTTCTTTAGGATAAGACAGAAATCATTCCACTTATGTGGCTTGGGACAGTTCTTCTGAAACATAATCATCCCAGACTCACATATATGAGCTAATAATTATAACAACTACAATAATACTGATAAACATTAACTAACATTGGGGCACCTGGGTGGCTCAGTCGGTGAAGTGTCTGCCTTTGGTTCAGGTCATGATCCCAGGATCCTGGGATTGAGCCCCATGTCAGGCTCCCTGCTCAGTGAGAAGCCTGCTTCTCCCTCTCCCTCGCCCTCTCTCCCCTGCTCATGCTCTCTGTCTCTCTCTCAATAAAATCTTTTTAAAATATATTTTAAACATTAACATTAGCTAACAATTATAATATCTAATACTTAAAACAACTATAATATTAAGTAGCCATATGTAATAATTATGAAGGTCACTAATAGCTATAATATGTATGAAGCACTGAGCACTGGACACCATGCAAGGCGCTCAGGGCTTATTTCCTAAATCCTCATGGCGATGTCATGAGATGAATACTATTCTTATCCTCATTTTACAGATAAGGAAATTGAGGCTTAGCAAGGTGAAATAACTTTCCCAAGGTCAAACAGTTCCAAGTGACAACAAAACATTTGCATGGGGAACCACAGTTAATGTGGTTTTTCCAGGATCCTGGAGTGAACAGTGTCCCTCCAGACCCTCCGAGGCTAACTCAATCATACGCCCAAACTTCAAGAATGTAAGACACCAAATAATCCTAAGAACTTCACAAGTTTGTTCACCACCTCTGGAAGGATGCATAGGGCACTCACACCTGGCCTACAGAACATGTGGAAGATTGGTCAGTGGTAAAAGTTTCCGTCAATGAGCGTCAACAGCATATTGAAAGGCCACTAAAGCCATTTTCTTCAATAAAAATCATATTTAATCTAGTAATCCAAAAATGTGCTCTTTATGGGTCAACTAAAATTTCTGAGGTTATCGACAGCCACAAAAGATTTTGCGGTTTTACATCTGGAATTTTCCCTCCTCTGTTTCTGTTAAAAGATGTTCCACAGATACTAAGCCATTGCCGATGGGTTGTGCTCAGAGGGACAACCAGCCTCTTCTCTCTTGTGCCCTCCTTGCCCTCTGGAAACTGCGCGAACTTTCAGGGCTGTGGGTGGGGGCATTCAAGAGCCAGCGTTGGGGCTGCTTCCAGCCAGCTGCTGGCCGAGGGTATCATCCCTGGCTGAGTGAAACCCAAGCTGCAGGATGGCCCAGGAACTACATATAAAAGGAAACAGCCCCCTTGCTGGTGTCCAGCCCTCAGGACTGATGAAACGGCTTCCTCCTACAGCCCCCTAAAGGCTCAAATGCTCCCAGAAATGTCAGTCTCCGAGAGACACCGCAGGTTCAAGCCTAAAATCAAAGCCTGAATCACTGCCAAGGAGAAGTGGCTCCTTCGGTTACCCTTGTTTCTTCAGGCAGGTCCATCCCACACAGAATGAAGGCAGAAACTGGAGGGGAGATTCTGAGCCTGGTCCCAGGGAAATCAGACGCAGTGTTATGGGGTCCACACCTAGTACCTATTTTTGGCCTGTCTGAATTCCTAGAGCATTTAAAACTGTGGCCTTAGAGATGTTTGTTCTTGTCACTGTGACATCATTTTCCCCAAATAATACTATTACACATGCTAACTTTACACTTTTGGTATAGTTACATCACACATGCAAGTACAATTGACCCTTGAACAACACAACTTTTAAACTGCACGGGTCCACCTATATGCAGATTTTTTTCTGTAACTACAGAAAGTATTGTAAATGTATTTTCTCTTTCTTATGGTTTTCTTAATAACATTTTCTTTTCTCTAGCTTACTTATTGCAAGAATACAGCTTATATTACATATAACATACAAAATATGTGTTAATCAACTGTTTATGTTGTCAGTAAGGCTTCTGGTCAACAGTAGGTCATTAATGAAGTTTTGGGGAGTCAAAAGTTATACACGGATTTTCGACTGTGCTGGTGTGAGTGCCCCTAACCACCACCACCACCACCACCACCACCACCCACGCATTGTTCAAGGATCAACTGTAACCACACCCAGCAGTCATTTTGGTACTGTTTCATCACACCCTCCAAATATGGTTACACAAAGTGTCATTTATTTGCAACTTTAAATTAGTCTAAGTCTTACAGAATGATTGGCAGAAACACTCCACCAAAAAAAAAAAAAGCCTCTGATTCTATAATATATGCGAACACAACGTGACACAAATCACATGTTAAAAATTCTAGTATCAAGCACGCCCCCTTCCTGGAATCCCTTTCACACTCAGCTAGCCAGGATCACTCATTTTCCACACTTCTTCAACGCGGTTAAAGCAAACGCAGAAAGCAAAGGCACGCAGGCTTACTGCGGAGCCACGGCTGACTTACACACTCCTCACAAAACAAACTTCAGGCCAACGCTGGGTCAGACCCGCTTCTTCCACTTCCCGGCCTGAGTTCCTCAGAAAATCCGACAAAAAGAAAGGCCCCCACCCATTCCAGCAGACACCTACCGCTATGGACCCAGAAGATGTGGCAACAAACACTTTGATAACCATTTTGGCAGTCGGAAAGAGGGGTCCCCCCAACACACCCCCGCGAGGGAACGCGGCGCTAGACGGATCCCGACCGCGGGCCGCGCCGGGCAGGTAGCAGGTGCCAGGTAGCAGCAGGTGCAGGTGCCAGGTGCGAGCTGGCGGCCGCCCAGCGCGGTCTGAGCCCCTGCGCCTCCCGCCGCAACTTAAGCCCAGCGCCTGCCCGCAGCGGCGCGGGCGGCGCGGGCTTCCCCCGCCATTGGCCGGGCGCGAGAGGGGAATCGGCCGGGCGACGACCGGATTGGTCGATAAAAGCAGCCACTTACTTGAAACGCCCGACAACAGCCCCTAAAAGGCCAGGCTGCGCCGCGCACCAATCAGGCCGCCGCGCACGCACAGGCGCCTGCGGGGGGGCAGCCGAGCGCCGGGGCGCGGCTGGAAAAGCCCAGAAGACGCCAGCTCCGTCCTCGAGGACGCCGTGTCTGCGAGGCTTTCGGCAAACGCCCCGCGGGGGGGGTCCGAACGGCCACACAGGCCTTGGAATAAGCAAAGGCATCCTGACTTGCACGTTTTCCGGCCGGTTAAAAGTTCCGTGAACTCGCAATATACAAGAGATGCCTTTAGGCGTGGCCCGCTTCCAGGTTTCTCCCTTTCCCACCTGTTGCTCCTAAAGAACAGAAGCTGACAGGCGGCAGACGTGTAAGGTTTCACTGACATCCCAGACAAGGCAGGGCGGCAGCGGCGGGCTGTCAGCAGGGATGAGTTCAACAAGCGAAATGTCTTCACTGTCTCAGAGACGCGGGGAGAAAATAGATGTTTGTCGCAGTCTCTCTCCGTCTTCTTTATGTGGATACTTAAATCGCGTAAAAAGCCCAAATGCTACCTCCCAATTTTTCTGATGGGTTTCAAGATCAAGCTCAAGGACATAGGAGGCACCAGGGGGTTATTCTCTTAGATAACTGAGTCTCTCTCTCTCTCTTTCTTTTTATTCTTAAGTCCCCCGCTACTCCCGGAGGAGGTGGTTACTGGCATGCTGGAGCAGGGAGGGGTCTGGAGGCCTTCTTTGCCTGCCCTCTTCACCGGAGTCCCAGGGGCCTGGAGGCCTGCTCCCTTCCCCCAGGACAGGCGCCTTTAACGAGAAGGGACGCCCCATCCCTGCAACATAGCTCAAATTCATTTACATCAGAACCAGTGATTGAGATGACTGCCCGTTTAACTTAGAACCTCACTATGCAAAGTTTGCTCCCCAAATTGGGCCCTTGGTGAAGATGATTGATGGCTCCCCAAATTTAAGTCATTAGCATTGTAAATTTTTTCAAGCCCACCAAAGATTATAGGTCATTTGTGCTCCTTTCCTGTATTTTCAAAATCGTAAAGTAAGTATATGCTATTTTTGTGAAAGTATTTTTTTCAACACCTTCGTGTCAAATTCTACCACATGAGCAAGCCATTTTTCTCCAAATACGATTGAAGAGAGTAATAAACTATGCATATTTCTCAATGATTTTGTAAATTAGTAACGTAAACTGTAGTTGACCCTCATGTGCCCTAGAGAATATACAACTGCTGATCATATGGGGCAACACTGCCTTGGACAATGACATACCACCTCCGTCCACATGCCCTCGAGAGAAAGAATAGGCTACTTGAAGCAAGAACTAACAATTTTTAAGTGTGTGCCACATGCCAGATCTGCTCTAAGTGCTTTGCATAAACCACTCCCTTAATGTGTACAACACTAACACTGGGTTCTAGTCCTATCCCTCCTCAAGGATGAGGACAGGAAATGAGGCACCCAAGCAAGACACTAACCCAATCCTTCTATCTCCACACCACACCAGAGAAACTCCTGACACACCACCCTCAAATTCCTAGTGCACCCTCTTTACACTATGAATTATTTTTAGAAGCTTATCCTTTTAACAATGGCCGTGAAAATGTACAAATTAGAACTCTGAAAACTCTAGCTGAAAGATCTTTTCATCTATGACACTGACTCCAATAAACTTCAAGATAATTAATACAAATATGAAACATTCCAAGTGAGTCTTAAAATAAAGCTCAACTAATCTCTGCCTTAGAAAATTCACTACAGGACGCCTGGGTGGCTCAGTTGGTTAAGCATCTGCCTTCAGCTCGGGACAGGATCCCAGGGTCCTGAGATAGAGTCCGGCATCCGGGTCCTTGCTCAGCAGGGAGACTGCTTCTCCATCTGCCTCTGCTGCTCCCCCTGCTTGTGCTCAATCTCTCTCTCTCTCTCTCTCTCTGGCAAATAAATAAAATCTTAAAAAAACAAAAAGAACAAAAGAAAGAAAATTCACTTCAAAAATAAGCTGTGTGCTCCACTGAAGAGGCAGAAGGCTTATCATTTCACACCCCCAGTCCTTGATGCTAAGTGAAAGAACAATACTTATTTTGTTAAAGAATTTTTTTCAGCTTTATTGAGGTATAATTAACAGTTAAAATCCTAAGATAGCTAAAGTGCACATCGTGGTAACTTGAACAAACACACTATGAAAGAAAGAGTTCATCTAATTTTAATGATAAAAGTGTGAGGTATTGCCTCCAAACTTGGCAGAGATCCTCAGATGATCTTATAATAAATGATACCAGATGCTATGTTTTGGTGTACGTAATGTGATATGTGTATGAGAAATGAGAAATTTGGGAAATAAAGGCATATTTGTACTACGTGGAATGACAGTGGTGACCACAAGAGTAACAGTAGTGACTTGAATAATGTCCCCCCTCAAAATTCATGTCCACCCTAAACTTCAGAATGTGAACCTTATTTGGAAACAGAATCTTTGTAGGTGAAATTGGTTGAAATTCTGAAAAGAAATCATCCTGGACTTCGGGTGGGCCCTTAGCCCAATAACAGATGTCCTTACAAGAAGAGGAGGCACAGAGAGAGACAGAAAAAACACCGTGTGAAGACAGGGCTGCAGAGACAGGACTGATGCTGCCACAAGCCAAGGAGCACGGGGAGCCAGAGAGGCAAGGAAGGATTTTTCCCAGGAGCTCTCAGAGGAAGCTTGGCCCTGCCAACACCTCGATTTCAGACTTCTTGCCTCCAGAACTGTGAGAGAGTAAATTTCTGTTGTTTTAAGCCACTGGGTCTGTAGTGATTTGTTACAGTGGACTTCACTAAACTAATACAGAGAAATAAAGGCATATGTTACTATGTAGCAGAATTCCTAAAGGCATTTCTTCAGCTTTGTACTCACCAGGTCTCTCCCCTTCCATAAGACACATGGATACCTATGGAAAACAAACACCCCCTTTCAAAGGCAGAAACAAAGGCTGACTGAGAACAGCTAGCAAAGAAGAGGAGAGACCATTCGGATGGGAAAGGAAGCTCTGAAGGACTTCCATCTTTCAGGATCCTCCAGTCCTGAGTACCAGGGTTGGGATGTTCACTTAATAATAAACTGCCACTTTTGTTACTGTGCTGGGGACACCATCAGCCATTAAGCAGGCATCTTTCCATGCATGTCAAGTCTAGGGTGTCACCTGTCTGCTGTATGTCCTCCAAGAGATGCTGCCCAGCTCACCAGCAACAAAAAGCGCCACCACCCACCTTGTAGGGATAACTCACGACCTAAGGTTGTTGAAACACAGCTCACCAAAATTAAGAGTGGGTGCTCTAACAGCACAAGGAGGAAGGGTGGTGATGTGAAAGGGAAGCCTTGCCCCCTCCTCATCCCTTAAAAAACTAGATCTAAACAGAGTCAGTTTGGAAACGCCCACTACCCCTACTACATAAAATCCAAATCAAAAACCATAGATGGAAAATGGGATCAATTTGACTCTACACAAATATCAAAATACACTGCAAACAAAATTGAAAAGTATTTGACAAACTGGGGGAAATATTTACAACATATACCGCAGACCAAGTTTTCATATAGCAGACCTGAGTTTCACAGAACAGAGAAAGTTCTACAAAGATGGGCACCAAGTGAAAAATGGGCAAAAGGCAGGAAAAAAGCAAATCGAAAAGTACAAATGGTTACTAAGAATATGAAAAAAAATCTATCCTTCTGAGCAAAGACATGAATAAAATCAAAGTATCAACTTTTAACAATAAAATGGGCAAATATTTTTTAAAGAAATTAAAAAGATTATCCTCAGTGTGGGTTAAGGATTGGGAGACATTTGCCTGGAAGGCAAACTTTCATATACCTTCAGAAAGCCTCAAAGTGGGCATTTCCTTCGATCCTTCGATTTCACGTGTAGGATTTATTCTAAGGAGTCAGGGGTGACCTCTGTTAACCTTAAACATAAAATTGTCAGTTATTTTGCCAGTAAATGGGTTTAGTCGGGAGTAACAAAGAATTGGAACTTGGGGCATGTCAACTATGGCAAAACCTTAGGCAGGTCCAACAAACAAAGGAGAGGAACATGATTTTATGGAGAAGGAAAAAGTTGGGAGGAATTCAAAAGTCCATCTGGGAAATCAAGAGTTCAGGGTGATGACTTTCTCCTTGACTGAGTTACAGGGGGTGGCCGCTTTCTTGAAGGAGATGCAAAGCACATCTTTCCCTCTTGGGCCCATAATTGATAATTCTTTCCTGTTGACGCTCTTCTGTTGGGGAGTCTGTAACTGACACTTCTGTTGGAGCCCGTAATTGAGTTGAATGGTAAGGGCTCCCCCTTCTAGCCTCAGACCTACTTTAGCGATGTTTCCCTTTATTAATTTTCACACATCAAGGCTCACTTATAGGGATATTCAACATGGCATTAATACAATGGGGGGAGGGGAAGGCGGGGAGGAAGAGAAGTAATATAAATGTTCCTTAATTCTGCCTATGCAGTCATTTAAAATTCCTAGGTAATCATTAAAAATCACCTGCAATTCCATCATCTAGGTAATTTTTAATTTTTCTTTGTACTTTGCTGTACATTCTAAATTCTCTACCACCAACATGCATTGCTTTGGGATCACATTTTCTTTCACCAAAGAAATTCATCTTTATAAAGAGAGGTCAGCGGGGGTGCTCTGCTCTCGATCCACTTCTTCACCGAGCAGAGACGAGTCTACACCTGCCCGGCTGGGCCCAAGCCCCTTCCCGGGGAACCTGGCATCTACACCTGCCTTCCTGGATCCGCTCCTTTCCCTACCTGCCTAGCAGCCAACCTGGAGCGCCTTGCTCTGGGTCGGTGCACCTCCCGGCAGGGAACCGGACATGCGCACTGGACTCGGATTCAAAACACCAGTACATGGGCGAGTGCGACCGAGAGCGTGAAGGGACAGCTGCACTGCCGCGGGATCCGTTCGTTCGCTCGAGACGCGGCCAGGGCGATGGTGGGAGCCCCGAGCGTGCAGGAGAGCCGGCGAGAGGTTACCGTGCGCAAGTTTCTGCACTCAGCTCACCAGTGCGCAAGCGCGCGGACCTAGCGGCCCCGCTCCCCGGCTCAGCCAGTCCCAGGAGGCGCCGCGCGCGGGTTGCCAGGGCGACGCGCGGGATCCGGGAGGCTGCGGGCTTGGCGCTGCGGCGGCAGCCGCGCGGAGCAGGTAACGGCCCGGCCCGGCCCCAGCCAGAGCCTCCTGCTCAAGCCTCCGGGCCTTCCGGTGCCGCCACTCAGTCCTGGCCCCTGCCCAGCCCGGGGGGCCGCGCCGCCTCGCTCTCAGTGGAGTTGGTAACGTAGCCGCGCCGCCGGCCGCCTCCGCCCGCAGAGCGTGGCCTCCCAGCCCGGACAGGGGCCTACGCCCTCGCCCGCCCCTCGCCGCGCCGCCGGGGCCCCTCCTCACGCGGCCTGGCCGCCGGGGCGTTCGGGCAGGGGCGGCCCCGACTGGCCCCGGGACCCGCGGCCGCCGTCAGCCCCGCCCCCCACTTGCGGGCTTTGGCCAATACTTTGTTCATGTGTGAATCTGATGCCTTCAGGTTCGCGTGCACCTACCCGCGTTAGCGTTGTTTTGCTTTTTCCTTCTGACCTTAGCGCTGACGTCCCCTTATCCCCAGCCCGTGGAAATGTGAGTTCTTTGAAATTTCTGCACTGTGTTCCTCGCTCGCTCAGCCTTGAGCGCTTTGTCCGCAGTTTCCCCCTCGCGCCACAGGTGACTTTCTTAAGATCGGTGTTCCTCTGCTGAGCGAGACCGTGAACCTTTTTTTTTTTCTATCTACACTCGCTCCCTAGATAAATTCATCCAGCCTCATAGGCTCGTAACCCTTCTAAATGCCAACGAGCCCCAAAAAGTGTGTCTCCAGCCCTGACCCTCCCGCAGAACTTCAGACCTGCATGCTCACCCCGGCTCTGCCCACATCCACACTTGGATGTCTCAGGGAAGCCCTGGCATTCCCTCCAACCTGTTCTTGCCACACTTTTACCCACCCCATTACTGGAAGCCATTCTCGCGGTGGTCCGGGCCTTGAGGTGCTCCTTGACTCCTGTTTTTCTCCCTCCCCACAATCAGTCTGTCAACACGTCCTTCACATCATGCCCTGAAGAGATGCACAGTCCCAGCGTTTCTGCCAACCCCCACTACTCCCACCGCTGTCCAGGCCACCATCCTCTCCTGCCTGCTAACTGGAATGTGGACAGTCTTACTCTGTGTTCCCATTCTCTGTCATTTCAAGTGAATCAGGGTCTTCTTTTAAGGATATGAGTTTCATAGTTTACATAGATAAAGATAATTTTTAGTACGTATTTTGAAGATTGCGGCTTTTAAACAGGTAGCCAAAGCTGCATAAACACTGTAGTGTTAACAAGCTAAAAATGGAAAGATGCCCCTTGGCTTTCTTGGGTATATGACTGTGTCCCTGGAGAGAACTTCAACAAGACCTTTAAAACCATACAGAAGAGTAAAAGAATCCAGAGCCTCCTTCCAAGTGAGAAAAAGAAGACGCGTAGGAATTCAGGTTCTGTTTATTCCCTACTCTTTGGTTTTGGTTTTTTAGAGAAGCACCAAAAGAGGCAAACTGAAATGGAGACAAGTGATCATCCCAGTGTTGGTCAGTTTGACAGTGAGTGCCTGGGCGCTGGTACTGTAGTCAATCAGTCCCAGAGTGATGCAGGGATTGATAGGACAGGTCCTTGCCCTCAGGGAGCTAATGGCCCCAACACACCCGTACCCTGCCAATCGCAAACCCCCCAGCTCCCATTTTTTTCTCTTTTTCCTCAAGTGAAACCCCAGTTAACGAAAGTAGCATGGTAGGATCCCTGCAACTTGCAGAGGGGCCGTAGGATGCTGCACATCATAAACCTCCACTTTTACTCAGATTTGATCTCACAGCTTCCCCCCGTGCAGTCACTTCCTAGAGGAACGAAAGCTGTCCGCTGGGTCTCTCCAAGCCCCCGCTAGCACAACTACAGCCTTACCTACCGCTGTCCCCATGCTATCCCTCCCAGCCAAGACCTCCCCTCCCTGTGCTTTGTATAGCATCCCTACCCGCTTGTCAAAAACCTTATAATTTCCCTATCAGCTGTCGCCTGTTCCATCTCAACTGGCTCTTTCCCTTTGGCTTTTAAACATGGGCCATTGTCCCGTCACAAAAGAAAGAGAAAAAAATCTCTCTTGACCCCATGTTCCCCTTCATTTTCCAGCTATTGCTCAATCTCTCATTCCCTTTGACAGGCAAACTTTTTAAAGAATTGCCGTCTTCCATGCATCCATTTCTTGTGTCTCATCCCTTAGCCCACTCTAGACTGCCTTCCACCCTCATCTCTATACTAAAACAAAAACCACTGATCAGACATTTCCAGGCCTCATCTTGCTCAGTCTCTTGGCAGCATTTCAATTTGACACTGCTGCTCCCATCTCTTGAAACGCTGTCTTCCCTTGGCTTCTGTGCCCCCATCCACCCAGCCGCTTTCTGCTTTTCCTGCTACCATGCTGTCTCACTCTCCTTTTCTGGGCCCCTTAATATTGCAGTTTCTCAAAGCTCAGTTTGTTCTCATCACATTCTCTCCCCATGCTGCCTGTATTCGGACGTTAGGCACAAACCCATGCTCACCATCTTTATGCTCTCGACTCCCAACTTTATCTTTCCAGCTTGACCCTCTTTTCTGAGCTGACCCATATGTCCAGCTAGCAGGATGGCCTTGCCTCTTAATACCTCTCAGACACCAACACCGTGTGCAGAAGACCAGTCTCCCACCACCCCTCCCAGCTGGGACCTCCTCCATTGGCAGCTAGGACTCCTCCCTGACCTTTTCCCTCACCCCGGCATCCAGTGGGTCACTGAGCACTGCCTCCTGTGCACCTTAGTCCAAGCTGCCACCTTCTTTCTGCAGCCTTCTGAAATCCTCTCCTCTGGCTTTTCTCTTTTCTGTTTTCCACACTGCAGTCCAAGTAACCTTCAGGAAGCAGAGCAAATTATGTTATCTCTTCCCCAGCCTCCCCCTTTTGCTCACTGCTAGCTCCCCGTTGCTCTTGGATTAATGACCCAAATCATAAACCTGCCCTCCAGCTTCTCACCCCCACCTACCTCTGGAGACTCATCGGGAACCCCTGGGACCCAGCCACATGGGCCTCATCTACCCACCAGGCCTTGGAACTGTCCTCTCTCCATCCACAATGGACTGCCTTCTTACCCTCCATTCCTTTTTGGGTGGTTAGTTCCCACTGACCTGTCATATCTCCGCTCAGATGGCCCTTCCGTAGAACTTCCAAGGTCACCGTCTAGATCAGGTTTCTTTGTCATGTATCTTCACAGAATTGTATCTCTTTCCTCTAAAACACTTAGAACAGTCACCATTGTGATTATTTTATTACCATCATATAAGCTCCATGAAAAGAGAGGCATTCGTTTGTGTTCATGACATCCCCCCGTACCTCATACTCTTCTGGCACATAGAAAGCTCTCAAATATGTGTTGAAAGAATGAATGAAATGAACATTTTAATGTGTAAGATAAATCAAGGTAGGGTATTTTAGTACAATTTATTAGAATAGAATAAAATTCTAGTAAATATCAGGTCAACAGTGAAAATTAAAAAGAAATGTGGCAATGGCCACGAGAGGGAGGTGAAAATGCACACTTTCAGAAATTTAGCCCTTAACTCATTCAATTTTTGTTAGGTTCACGTGGTATATTGCACTTGCCACCACTTGGTGGAAGTAGAGAGACAGAGATCCTCCTTTTCTCATCCTGAAGGCGCTTCTTTGGAATATTCAGTCTGGTAAGGAATTCAGGGTTTTTGTTAAAAATAAATAAAATATATCAAGTTGTTAAATCACCAAACCTACATCACTTGTCTATAACCATCCAAACACTGAACATGGCACATTTTCATATTATCATATAAAGCTTGAACTTTGATATGTGTATATATAGGTATATTTAATTCATGGATTTTCGTGCAGGACTGGCCCTTAGAAGTTACTGAGCACAATTAGCTAACTTCAGACGTTGAAGAGTTGAGGTCAAACAGCTGGCCATCCCGGCAGAGCTGGCACGAGAACTCACATATCTGGCCACGCGTGCCTTCTTTTCTTCTTTCATAGCAGACTGCCTTTCTCCTTAAGCAGTGTTAATTCTTGAACTTCCCTTCTTCAATATGAGAATGACCAAATTTCTGAAACAAAAAATTGGGACACATAATCTTAAAAGTGGGTGCGATGTTTGAAATAGTGTTTTTGAAAGCCTTTAAGATAGGTGATCATCTTACTGATAGGATACTATTTTTATAAGCTAAACGAAGAGCTTTGCTATTCATTTAATATTCTGCTTAATTTTGTGTCAAAGTGTCTGTGTTAAAGAGTTTTGTTAAAGAGTTCGGGCCTTTCTTTCTTCTGTAGGAAGACCCTCACCCTGGATCCTGCTGCTGCTTTCTCATGACCGGACTGTGGCCACTCCTTGGTCGCTTATTAGTTGTCATCCTACCATAAGGAAGAGCTTTCTCTTCTTTCCTCATCCATTTAGTTATTCGTTATATCAGGATGGACTCACGGATTCCTACTTTATTTTAGTAGGTTGTCATCTTGTACCATCATTTATTTTGATGCTCAAATTGTCCTAGATTTGACCAGCAAGAACTTCATTAAGCTGGCTTCTGTGCCCTTTGACACATACCAGCCTTATCTTGGACTTGCCTTATCCCAGGCCTGGAGCTACCAATTCCTCCAAGGAACCTGATTCTTCTTAATGGAAAATGGCATTTTAGTGGAGGTTGGTGCTCAGTGTGCTCATTGTTCCTAGGGGGCCATTGCTTCTAGGCCCCCTCAGGGAGCAGAGTTAGGAAAAA